TTTATGAATTGTACCGGGTGATCCTCGTCCGAATGGTGACACTTTGTGTCAGTGGTTGTTGGTCGCTCGTTGCACGGTGGGTTTAAATCACACACACACACACACACACACACACACACACACACACACACACACACACACACACACACATACATATCCTGAGATTCAGAAATCTCAATATGGAAGGCAGGCCAGCCAGGCAAATACCAAATACCCTATTCAACCTCTAAATAAGTTATCATTGGGGCATTTGTAACGTCTACACCAGCCAAGTGTACCCTGAAGTCATGTACGGATAATAAAGATCTAGGATCTTCACCATGGACTTTGGCTTTTCACGTGCATCCGTCTCATTAAGCTTTTCTGTGTGCAGTTAGTTGGCCCTTGCCACTTGGACAGATGCACTCCACCTCGAAGGAAACCCCCAATTAGTAGACTCCTACGAGATGCTTGTTGGGGAGGCAGTGAGTATATTCTTGTCCCCCCCCCCCCCCCTACAATGGACCCCCGAAACATACACGGAGAGATTAAGGAGATGAGGGTCTATTGTTTGATCGATTAGTCTGTCCCCTGCTGGCTGCTACCAAAAGGCTTACCGTGTCATTCTGACAGTGAACAGTCGCAATCTGGATGACAGACCAATGAGGCAGATCTGGACGACAGATCAACCAGGCAGATCGGGACGACAAACCAACCAGGCAGATCGGGACGACAAACCAACCAGGCAGATCTGGACGACAAACCAACCAGGCAGATCTGGACGACTGACCAATCAGGCAGATCTGGACGACAGACAACCAGACAGATCTGGACGACAGACCAATCAGGCAGATCTGGACGACAGATCAACCAGGCAGATATGGACGACAGATCAACCAGGCAGATATGGATGACAGATCAACCAGGCAGATGTGGACGACAGATCAACCAGGCAGATGTGGACGGCAGACCAACCAGACAGATCTGGACGACAGACCAACCAGGCAGATCTGGACGACAGACCAGCCAAGCAGATCTGGACAATAGACCAACCAGACGGATCTGGACGACAAACCAACCAGGCAGATCGGGACAATAGACCAACCAGATGGATCTGGACCACAAACCAACCAGACAGATATGGACGACAGATCAACCAGGCAGATGTGGACGGCAGATCAACCAGGCAGATATGGACGGCAGATCAACCAGGCAGATATGGACGACAGATCAACCAGACAGATCTGGTCGACAGACAACCAGGCAGATCGGGACGACAGACAACCAGACAGAATCCAGATAGCCTGTTCAACCTTCAAAGAAAATATAATTAGGACACCCATAGCGGCTTCAGTAGCCAGGTGCATCCTGCAATACTGTGTGGGTAAGGGCGTAAATAAGGAACTTCGATCAACTCAAATTTGAATGAGGGTTCCCCCCCCCCACCCCCACCCCCACCCTTACCAACTCTGTATAGTTATGTTGTCAAGTTGTTTAGTTTAAACACGTCATTCCAGAGTATTCCAAACATATTACTATACTTATTTGACATTCAACACATGTTTATTATTAATAGTATTATTATTATTCACTTAAACAAGGCATATGACCCTTGAGTTTCCCGATAAATTTGAAAGGAAAGCTGTGTATTCCCTCCCCCCCCCCCCCCCCCCTCCCCCTTCCCTCAATGCTTAATGTTTTCTTTGTGTGGCGACCTTGCTGTAATTTTTACCTGTGTTTTTTTTTTATTGCCAGGAAAGATGTGTAGACACAAATTCCCCATTTTTCCGGGGAGGGGGGCAGAAGGGGGGTTACTTTTGTTTCTTGTGTTATTTGATAAGCCAACGCTCTACGGTTTCCCCGTTATGTCTGTGGTTATTCAAACAACGGTTTCAAATAGCATCTCTAAATGTCCAGGGCATCCAAACAACGTTAGAAAAATGAAAGACACGTGATACATACAGCACATTACAAATTTCTCTTTGTGCGTCCGGGGCCCTATTGTGGGGAAAACAAGAATAGACCCACTGCGTGCCCAAAAGCCTATCGTATGAGTAGACTAAATAGGAGCTTTCTTCAAAGTTGGAGTACATCTACCTGAGAGGCAATGAACCAACAGTTTGCATGCAGATGAGTCAGACCTGTGAAACTGACGTGGTTGAAGCAGTCAGTTTCTGGAACAGGACTAGAGTCCAGAAGTGGACGAACAACCAGAACTTTCCGCCGGAGTTTCAAGCCGGTGAACGCGAAGAAGAAGAAGACGTGTTCGAAAGTGCACGTGCATATTGATGATTCTTACATGTTAATGACACAATGTTAGTAAGTAACATCATCTAAATATTCACTGAAAAATGTCTATCTTAATCGCAGCCCAAATAGATGTGAACAAGACAGCAGTTTAAACAATAATACAAAATAAATATATGTCGATAAATAATTACACGATATATATATAAACACAACAAATATATGGGCCGAGAATTCAATGAACACTTTATGTACAAATTATAGCCCTGATAATTGAACAGGATATTTTAATGAAAATGTTTTTCAAAGTAACAAATCTTTCCATTTTAACGAGATATGAAAACATTTTAATAGGACTTTTAAACAACACAAAGCGAAGGGACAGCGGTTCTGTTTTCTTCTTTTACTCTTACAATGGGGCCCTGGAACGCAGCCGGGGAAGCCTACTAAATGACCTAAATGATCTTTCTTTACAGCTGTAATAGGCCATCATCCACGTGAGTGATCTGATCACATATCCCAGCAACTACAACCAACGATAAGCTTGCAGATTGCGTGGTGGAGGGCCCAAACTAGGCCGGCCTTATCTGTGTAACAGCATGAGAAACCTCGTGACACAGCTTTCAACAGTCATATGACGGGCGTCACGTGGTGCCTGCCTGATCCTTTAATTGCCCTGTTCTCCAGGTTCTGGTCGTCTGTGGTTGTTTAGCTGAACAAGGAAGTTGGTAGGCAACAAGTCAGTAACATCTGAAAAGTGGAACTATTTTGTGTAAGTTTGCTTCTGTTTTGTTTGAGGTACGTTTTTGCTTGGTTAGGTTTGTGTTTACAATCAGCAGTAAAATATTACTAATCACTAGTCACCTGAACAGGCTTGTGGCTTTTACTAAACTAATGTTACATCATTTTTTACTACAAGTCTTTCTTGTCATCGCTTTGTAAACTGAAACTCGTTGACCGAATTTTGCTTCATTATCAAGTGCCTTTGCGATTGACTGGAAAATATCATGTGCAACTTCGTGTATTAGAATTTCCTATGCTGGCATCTTTTTTTCTGCATAACTAGAATCTTCTACTTTTAGTTCTTCTCTTGCTATCTTCTCCCCATAATTCCATAAAAATAAATGATTAAATGGTCACAGTAAATTACATTGTTGTCACGCCCTACTAGTGCCTTGCCTTGGTTTTTTAATTTTTTATCTTCTATTTAATGGCCATTGTATCGCCTGTATCATATGGCTGAATTATTTGATAATTAAGTTGTTTTTGTGCCCTTAACGTAACCTCAATCAGAACATTTGTTTACTTATCTTCAGTTGGTCACCCAAGCAGTTTAAGTTTTCAGCATTCTTATCATATCTGACTGACTGCTAATCACTCAGTAATTACCAATTAACACATCTCTAATCTCGTCAAGCCTAAATCTCAATGCTCTTTTACTTTTAGTCTTTTAATTTACCTGTTACACTTAGACTTTGCTCTAGACTAAGTCAGTTACAGCAGTACTAACCATTTTTACATCTGAAAACTGGAACTTTTTGACTCCTGAATACTAAGTACAGGTGAATAGAATAAAGAATAGAATACTTAAGAGCAGGTTCTGTAATATTGCATTTGTCTCTTGAGGGAAATTAAAGAGAATGCAGGAGTAAGAGTTGGAGGATACAAAATAAACAATTTGCGTTATGCCGACGATACAGTTTTGATAGCTGAAAATAAAACTGATTTACAGGTGCTGGATATTGTGGGGATGGAGAGAGAGTGCTAAGAAAGGACTTTATTGAATATTAAGAAAACAGATGTAATGGTTATATTAAAGAAGAAAACTCCACGTTGTGATATCTCAGTTGAAGGAAATAGACTTAACCAAGTTAGTAAATTCAAATATCTGAGAACAATCTATCATCAGATGGAAAATGTATGACAGAGATTAAAAGCAGAATAGGTTAAGCGAAAGCTGCATTTCAGAAAATAAAAATATCTTTTGCAATAAATTGCTCTCATTTAATGTCAGAAAGAGAGTGCTAAAATGTTATATTGAACCTGTTCTGCTGTATGGCAACAAATCTTGGAATGTCAGTTAATATATTAATTACAATTTGGAAGCAATAGATTTGGTTTCTGTGACGAATATTACGAATACCACCTTGGATGACCAGAGCAACTAAAGATTCCTTGAAAGAATCTAATTAAAGTAGGTCTATATACAACAATAAGAAAGAGACACTGTTCTTTGGCCACCAATTGAGAAGAGAGCACTCTTCCGAGTAACAGTCCCTCATTATTCAAAGACAAAAAATCCCATTCAGGGCCTCAAGAGGTCGTAGTTAGGGACTTGAGAATAATTTGGGACCGTTATTCGGAAGAGTGCCTCTTCCGAATACCGGTCCCAAATTATTGACTGTCCAAAACATCCCTTTTAGAGCCTTAAGGGTCCACTGTGTGGAGGGGGAAGGGGGACACATATGTCTCCGCGCCTCAATTATTATTTCAAGGCGCTTAACGGCAGAAGTGAAAACTGATGATGATCTAAAAGTTGCTACCCATCGACACAGCACTTCAATGGATCGAAAATTATTCCTCCCTACGTCACTTCAGGATATCAAAAACTATTTCTCCCCACGGCGCTTAACTTCAAACATTGCGCAGATGTGGGAACTGATGAAGATGATTATCTACAATTTTCTTCTTGGAAATGAGATTTTATAGACATAAATCAGTGCTTTGATGATAAAATATTGAGAAATGTGATTCTTCCTTTCAGGTTGAACATCATGATTCAAACAGTTGTGTTCTTGCTCACCCTGGGCTGTGCCTTGGCTGGGCCTGCCTACATGAAGTATTTTAAGATCGAGCCATCACTGAATCGTCCTGCACCTGCATACCCATCTGACAGTTTGAAGTCCGTCATTGCTCAAGGAAAAGGTGCTGGTGCCGTGTACAAGCTGTCATACTCAGACTACCAACAGACATGGGAGTCATTCAAAAACATTCACAGTAAGTTGAACATCATGTTCAGCCCATCTGGGGTATAATTAAAAATATATTTTCTATTTCAGTATTGTGGCTTAGGCATTGCGAACTCGCTTCATAATTCTATGGTGCTGGGTTCGATCTCAGCTTTGGGCAGTTTGGCTGCAGACCGCCTTGCATTGGTTTTAAGTCATATCAAGAGGTGACTGCTCAGAAGCATTGGCAACTTAAAGAACATAAAATTGCAGTGTGAAGTCACAAACAGCCTAAAAAGTGCTGGGGTTGGTTTTGTAACATCTTGTAAAAGACATGTTTTTTCCCTTAAAATTTCCTCTTTATGCTAACTAGTTGCCTTTAGTTATATAATCTTGTATAATGTATTGGTTATAGCAGAATATAGTATAAATTGTTAAGGCTAAACAATAAACACCAAGCAATCCACAAAACTAATTTTTTGGACTGCAGTTCATGCATGATTTGTAGCTATCGGGATAATGTATTTCAGATATGTTACTTTTTGTGGGTTTTGAGACCTCATTGGGCGTGGGAGGTGGGGGGGGGGGGGTAGCCCCACAGTCGACTAATCAGCTGAAATGAGATGTTTTGACAAAAGATGTAGATATTGCAGCTTATCTGTAAACATATCAATGAAAATTGTAAGAGCAGGTACAGAAATGTTTTTGTTTAAGATGCTATGTGCAGCTGATGTGAAAATGTTCTGAAAGAGGCTAAGAATCAGATAAGTCATGTATGCTTATTTCGGTATTTTAAATTGATGTATAACACTTTTTCAACTGTGGTATGTTTTGGGCCATCAAGAAAGCAATAGTAAATAAATTACCTAGTAAAACCCCAAAGGGTTTGTTTGCTACTCTGTTAAGGATATGCAACTTAACTGTTACGGGTACTGGTATTTTATTAAACTTATAGCATACAGGTTTAGATACAAAATGTAGTGATGCACTACAAAATTAGTCTCCGTTTATGGTTTTTTTTCTTGAGCGAGTAGAAAATTGGTCCGTAGATTAGGTTAAAAGTTGTAACTCTGGAGTCAGAAGAATGTCGTAAGAACTTTTTTGATTTACATGGCTAAATTAAAATTATTCTTTTACTTATTACTACCCTTATGCATTACTGTTTTTCTTTTCAGACAAACGATATGAAACTGAAGAAGAGGAGAAAAAGAGATACAGCATTTTTATGGAAAATGTCAACCTTATTGAGTACCAGAACTGGAGGTACCACAATGGTCACTCCACTTTCTACATGGATGTTAACCATTTCACTGATCTCGTGAGTTATATTTTTGTTTGATTTAATTATGCAAACATTTATTATAACCCATAACAATGAACTGTTCAAATATTCTGGTTAGAAAGCATCGCAGGTGTTATCGGAAATATTTTACAAATGAAATGATTACTTCCCCTGTGTGGGTTCCAGGGCCCCTTTGTGGCGGAAAACAAGAATAGACCCACTGCCTACCCAAAGCATGTCATTAGAGTCAACTAATTGGGAGCTTTCTTCAAAGTTGGAGTACATCTACCTGAGAGGCAGGGAACCAACAATTTGCATGCAAATGAGTTAGACCTGTGAAACGGATGTCCACAAGTGGACGAACAACTAGAACTTTCTGCAGGAGTTTGCAACCGGCGAAGAAGAAGAAAGAAAACAATGGTTACTAAGTTTTAACTAATTATAATCCACAAGGATTGTGTATAGAATATCAGTGATACATTACTAAATCTAGTTATAAAGTAAACTATCTATAATCCACAAGGATTGTGTAGAGAATATCAGGGATACATTACTAAATCTAGTTATAAATTACAACTGCAGTGATTAGGGGTGATGGGTAACAGTTTCCTAGGCTGTTGGGTGGCATTTAAGCTGTCTTTTTACAGCAGGGTTGTGATATTGCACCATTCAGTTAATACACCTGAAGTTATTGAGCATTTTTTGCGGTTTGCCTCTCTGGAGTCCACAATTCACGGCTCTACTGGCAAATCCGGACGAAGAATAAACAGACTTGGACGACTTAGTCAGAGTTATCTCCCGTCGCTGCACTCCGAACAGTAATCGGAAAACAAACGAAACAAACGACACACTTACCTATCATCCTGCGGTTGCGTGTAGGGCTGCGTACGGTTGCGTGAGACATCGTGGCATCATCATATGGTTGCGTGCACAGTTGCGTACGGTTGCTTGAGGCACTGTGAATGGTTGTGTAGTCAATCATCATGCGGTTGTTGGATTAGAGTTAGGGGTAGGGTTAGGGTAGGGTTAGGGTTAGATGTGAAAATTTTGACATAGGATTTCGAAATACTGGCCGACAATATGTTTGTGGGAGTGGCGCCACTGAAACTCTGCCAAATATGACGCCAATAGCGTGCGGCTGGTGCCCCCAATCGTTGGCGAATTGTGCGTGTGACCAGCATCCAGAGGCCCTCGATTGTTTGTGTGTGTGTATGGGACTGTGCGCGATTATAGGGAACTCCGGCGTCAAAATTGTCAAATCTAACGCTAATCCTAACCTTACCGCTAACCCTAATCCTAATCCTACTCCCTAACCCTAACCCCTACCCCCCTAACCACGCAAATTTATCGATCATTAAAGCATACAAATCGGCAAACACGAACAAACAAAACACACCCAAAAAAAACACACCCAGAATTGTCCTGCAGCGTCGAAAAAAAACCCAGATCTGGGGGAAACAACCAAGCACTGGCAGCCCTGATGTCGACGTGACTGTCTTCTTTGTTTCGTTGTGGCTTTTCCGATCACTGTTTGGAGTGCGGCGACGGGAGAGAACTCTAAGTCGTCCAAGGCTGTTTATTCTTCGTCCGGATTTGCCAGTAGAGCCCAATTCACTTTCATATATCAAAATTGGCTAGTATAACTCCTAAGACAACTTATATAGATAGATTATGCAATATTATTAGCAACATTACCATTTTTTAAAAATTACGCTTGAATTAGATAAAACTTGACAATCCATATTTCTGTAATCTGTTAACAAAGCGTAATCTATGCAGCAGTGTTAAATAACCAACTGTATTTGACAAGCACAGATTTCTAAGGCTGGAATAGTTGGTTAGTTCCCTTACAGGACATTGCAGAATCAACCATAGCACTTGTTGGCTGTTTTGGTTTTACGAGGTAATTGAACGTTTGGTAGTTTTCAGTTGCCTACTGAATGGTGGCTTCTTGATGCCCCTGTTGGAATCATACTGAGTGCAGCTGGAATCGAACCAAATACCTCTGAATTACAATACACGTTCATGGTGCCCAGGCCACAGAAGCTGGCTATTGAAATAGATAAAAAAAGCTCCATATCCCAATTAGAATCCTGATGGATTAAACAGAATATCGTTTGAATTACTGTTGATTTTCTCACTTTCTTAGAAAGATCTGTTAGTTTCAATGTTAAATATTCATCATCATCATGTAGCCGGTCCTTTGCAAAACATCGCTCTCATCACGGTCTGCCTGAAAGAAACTCAAATCTCTCGCCAGTTCTCCCACCTCATGAACTTTCATACTCAAGGAGTCACTTATTTCCTGTGCCCATCTTTGTGTCGGTCTGCCCCTCCTTCCTGATACCATGCCCTCTGCTGTAATTTTTTCCAATCCGTTGTGGCACTTGATATGACCTAAATATTTCAGCTTCCGAGACAGGATGCTGTTGATTAGGTAATCTTCCTTGATGTTCAGATCTTTTAAGATGTCAGTATTTCTCTTCTTCTTTGTCCAAGATATTCTGAGAATCTCTATAGCATTTCAGCTGAAAAGCCCCTATTCTCTTTCTTAAGGACTGAGAGATAGTCCACGACTCACATCCGTATGTTGCCACAGGGAAGATGCATGCTCTCAAAATTCTAATTTATCTCCTTGCTGGTGCTTAACCATAGACTTTTAAGGCTGTTTAATCTTTGCATTGCTATGGCCATCCTCCTATAAATATAACTAAGCATAAATAGTGCAATTTATCATATTTCATTGCATATTTTTGCTTGCAGACAAATGAGGAGTACCGTATGCTGAATGGATTTGGTGTGAATAAAACCCGTACTCGCACCACCCAGTGCAACGAGTACCACCCAAAAACCAAGGATGTCCCCGATGCAATCGACTGGAGACAAAAAGGATACGTCACAGCTATTAAAGATCAGGTATTTTTTCCCTGCATTTGTCAAATAGTTTACAGTTCACATATCATCTGGTGATAAGTGGGTATCTTAAAATATGGAAGTTTAAAATTAAGCGGTCATGTGCAGGATACGTCGATTCCTTGGTTGAACCGAATACCAGAGTGCAGTATTCTGCAATGCCAGGAACAGGCATGCTGTGTGCAGAGTGGCAAGCATCACTTCAGAGGTCCGGGGTAGTTAGCATCCTTTGTATATTTTCTCCAGGGTATAACGGTGTGTTGGGGAATGAGCAGGTAGACTGGTCGGTTTTGCACCATTTGGTGGTGAACTGATGTATGACAAGCTGGATGTTGTGAGGGCCCTTTTGGAGCGAGTGAGCAGTGCCGAGGCACAGATAGATCATTACGGACTGAGGAGAATAACACTGCGAGGAATTACAAGGGGATCTGACGCTCAACACTCAGGGGAAAGGCAAGACAGATATACAATCAGACAGTTACTGGTACCATCGGAATTTTAACTCTTCGCTTGTTGCTGGAGATAGGGACTGAGCGCTTATGGGGGTGTCCCAAGTGCTGTGTCAGTTCTTAATTCAACATTTAGATGGCCAGGAATGCTTATGTCCTCCCTTTGCTTTTATTAATGGCCTATAGCATGCATGTAGCTGTTCTCAGTGGGCCTACTGTGAGATAAGACCAGCTGATGGAGTTAAATGACACACCATTTGGTCTGTGCCATATCTCTGAGATCTAACTGGGAAGACTGACCCTATCAGCAAATGAAAAAAGTGTCAAAAACACAAATATCACAGCTGTGCTGTAAACAGACACAATGCTGTGACCTTTAGAAACTGTTTCCACATGCAGAACTTGAATTTGTGCCATGTACTAAATAATTGGTCTGTGGCTTAAGCGCTGCGAACACGCTATACAATACTGGATTTGATCCTAGCTGATCCAGATGGGATGTCTTGCGTTGGTTTCAACAGTGGTACCGAGAGCTGACCTTTCAGGTAGCAGTGGCAAATTACAGAATGTAAAATTTGTCTAGAAAAACAGCTAAAAATGTTGGGGTTGGTTCTGCAACATCTTGTAAAGATACACTGTTAACTTTTTAACAGAATAATCTCAGGTTTTCAATGTTTAAAGATAGAATTGGGCTGCTGAATGTTTTAAGGATTCTATAGTAGGTTTATTACTGCTTTATATTTTTATTTTGATTTTAATTCTATTTGAAATTTCCTTGTTACAGAAACAGTGTGGATCTTGCTGGTCATTCAGTACTGTAAGTATATTTTCTTTTTGTTGTTGTTAGTGTTGCAGCACATTGTTTTTATAAACATTAGCCTGTTATGAATATATTTTACCTCAGTACCTTTGAGCTCTTATGTTTACCTCGCATCAGAAGGTGAAGGGATAGTTTTTTGGTCTGTGTTGGTCAGTTTAAGTGAAATTATTGGAACCTCAGGGATTGTTTTGGCTGAGTGGCTGAACCATGGGATGAAACCTGAGGTAATGAATGAAGTCATTTCTTCTGCCTTTAGACTATTCGCTTTTTTCAAATGCACATTGTGTTTATATTATTCAGTGAAATATTTAACTTTAGATAGTATTGCCTTATATTGTAACTTCTATTTTTTTTTAATATATTAGCAAATCTTTTATACTCATGTTAAGTAAAAATAACTGTTCTTGTGTTACTAAGCTGTAGTGTAGTGTAGTTCTTGTAATGTTTAGGCAAAAAGTATTGTTCTGTTTAGGTTAAACAATTATTGCTCTTGTAATGCTTATGTAAAAATGGCAATTCATACAGTTCTTAGTGTTCATACAGTTCTTAGTGGGAAAACAGTTGCAGCTTCTGTAATATTTAAGCAAAAAGAATTTATATTGTAGTAGTAAAAAGTCGATATGAATGATATACATGAACCAGTAACAGTAGAGGCAGAACCTGAACCTTCATTAGATGAAATTTCATGGGCAATAAGGAGCCTGAAAAATGGTAAATCACCTGGATGTGATGAGATACCAGCTGAATTGATTAAAGCGGGAGGAGAAGAAAGCATAACAATCTGTCATGCATTATGTGAAAAGATATGGAAATATGGTATTTGGCCAAAAGACTGGAAGAGAACTATCTTCATTCCAATACCAAAAAAGGGTGACCTGAAATTATGTACAAACTATCGAACTATTGCCCTGATCAGTCATGCAAGTAAAATTCTACTAAAAATTATGAGAAGACTGCATAAGAAAATGGAAGAAGAGATTAATGTAGCTCAGGCTGGATTTAGACAGGGAAGAGGAACAAGAGATCATATATTCAACATGCGTTTAATAATAGAGAAGTGTAGAGAATTTAATGTAAATCTGTTCTTATGTTTTGTGGATTATTCAAAAGCATTTGACTGTGTACAACATTAGAAGCTTTGGGAAATCATGAGGAATATGGGCTTTCCATCACATATAGTGCAGCTCATTAAAATGCTCTATCAAGACCAACAAGCAGCAGTCAGAATAGATGGAGAGACATCAGACTGGTTTGGCATCAAGCAAGGAGTCCGTCAGGGATGTGTGCTGTCACCGTATTTGTTCAACCTGTACGCCGAAAATATAATGAGAAATGTAAGAGATGATATAAACAAGGAACAATATGTTGCCCTAAACATCGGTGGTCATGAAATACCAGAAATTCGTTATGCTGATACAGTATTACTATCAACATCACAAAATGGTTTAGAAAACTTATTAACCTCACTCCAAAGAAATAGTGAAAATCATAACTTATTTCTTAACATAGCAAAAACAAAGATAATGCATACAAACAAAACTGCCATGGAGAAGGAAATATATGTTAATGAGGAAAGATTGGAAGTGGTGGAAAATTTCGATCTTGGGTCACTGGTTACCAACAATGGTGACACAATGAAAGAAATTAAACGGCGACTATCAATTGCTCTTCAAAGACTAAAACAACTGAATAAATTATGGAATTGTACAGATAGAATTACAAAGGTCAGATTTTTAAGAGCATGCATCTTTCCCATTGAAACATACGCCTGTGAGACCTGGACGCTTACTAAACAAGCGGAACAGCGCATAAATGCATTTGAATATAAATGTTACAGACAGGTTCTAAGAATATCTTGGGTAAAGAAAAGAACAAATGCATCCATACTTCAAGAGCTGAATATTGAAGAGGGTTGGCTAGTAAAGACAATAAAACAAAGAAAATTTAAATATTTTGGTCACTTGAAATGTCATGGAAGTCTAGAGAGAACAATAATGGAGGGGTATATGCCTGGGAAGAGAGGAAGAGGAAGGCCAAGGAGAAGATGGGTGCAGGATGTGGTAGATGATCTCCAGATGGGTGTATCAGACGCAGGACATCTTGCTCAGGATAGGAAGGTTTTCCGGAGGGTTGTTATGGCAGCGAGGTTCCGCGAGGGACATGCTACTGAATGAATGAGTAAAAAGTCGTCCCCTTGTGGTATGCAATTTTTCGTTATTTTAAGCCCTACCCTGGCTTTTGCGGGAGCCCTTAATATAGCTGGGCCAAAAATGTGGCCATAACGACTGAAAGGGGTTTCTTGGACCTCTCAAGCAAATTGTAGTAATGCTGATTGGGTATACACGTTTTTTTTATTACTCTTCTGCAGACTGGCTCAATTGAAGGGCAGTGGTTCAAACACTCTGGACAATTGGTTCCCCTGTCTGAGCAGCAGCTGGTTGACTGCTCCGGTACCTATGGTGATGAGGGATGCAATGGTGGTCTGATGGATTACGCTTTTGAATACGTTATTGATAATGGAGGCTTGGAGTCTGAGGAGGCTTACCCGTATGAAGCTAAGGTATTTCAATCATACAGTTCTGTATTTATATCATACTGTATTCTACACACAAAAATTGTCTAAACTTGTCTCTTAAGTAAATGCAGTTTTATTTTTTTTGTTTATATTTAATCATGAGTAAATGCATTGCTTTAGAAACTTTTAACACCATTAACTTTTATAAAAATAAAAATATGCTGAATAGCAAATGAATTTTGAATGTGTGGCAAATGAATGTAGAATACAGTGTAGTGTATGCATAAACAAAAATATTTTTTTTTAACGCTTTGGGGTTGGAGATGCTGCCGCCCACTTACACATTTGTGTTGGGTTAGAAGGGGACCCCTAGCAGAGACGTCTTAACAGCATAATGGGCCCCTTGGCAAACCGAATAAACTAGAGCCACCACTGTCAGGAATGAAGTGTAAATGCTCGAGTGAGTAGATGTTCTGGAAGATGTTCAGCACAGGGAAAATATGGACAGACTTTTCATTAGGATGCAGCTGGTACGACGATTAGCATGTCAACTTCTCATTGGCTACCGAAGAAGGGGAACGGAGAATGTGTCAGTTCTTGATTCATTCATTTGTTCTGAATTTTTAACCATTTTTGTTTCACATTTTTATTTTTTTCAGGATGATACCTGCCAGTTCGATAAAAGCAAAATTGTAGCTAAAATCAGCTCCTGCGCTGATGTTGTTCCACAGCAGAATGAGAAGGCATTGAAGGTTGCTGTTGGCAACATTGGCCCTATTTCTATTGCCATTGATGCTAGCAGTTCCATGTTCCAGTCTTACAGTGGAGGTAAGAAAAACGTTTGCTATGTTGTTCCAACAGTGATTTTCACTACCAGATTTGACAGCAAATGCCACCAGGGACTAAACAGCGGAATGGCCACAGATTTCTGGAGTAGGGTTTAACCAAATGTAAAATAAAATAACAAATTATTCATTGGCTGTGACTCAAACATGAATTATTCCATTGCACACTATACATTGTTTGGGGCTAGAAGAGTTCATAATTAAATGTCATCTCCTCAGTGAAGGTGGACTGCAATGGATCTCCGCCACTTGTGTCTCTTGTTCTGATTGTCAACTGTGACTGCTGTTTGTCCATCTCTTGGAACTATCTTGTCACTTGTATCACTTGCCTCTTATTACCTTCCTGTCACTTATATCGCTGTCTCCCTTGTGTTCATCATGCGTTTAGCTTCATTATGGTTTTGTAGAATTGTCCTATTTTTTTGTTTATTGAAAGCTCCAGGCACTCGGGAGCCACGCTAGCGCAGCCGATAGGAGGCTCCCTTTCAAATCCAGCTGCGACTCGCTGCAGCCACGGTCGGTGTTTGAAACCGGGCGGTTCCCGGGGTCTCCCCCCCCCCCCCCCAGCCTCTTGGAAATGGGTACCAGAGTGACACTGTGGTAAATGGAGGAACGTCGCTGTAGCTACAGAGTTATGTGCGAACGGCGATACAGGTGGACAGTTTCTTATCAGCTGTCCTTGCGAACGGCGATACAGGTGGACAGTTTCTTATCAGCTGTCCTAACCCGTGGCAGAGCACTTATGGTTTATAACCGTGTGCAATGATGCTGGTTCACATTTCCCGACTTTACCTTTACTCGGTTTTTACCTGATTGCTTAATCTTTGGCTGTATTTCTGCATTGTATACTTTAGTGAATGAATATATTCTCTTACATTATTTAGCTTGAACACTTCAAAGGATACATTTTAGTCTGAGCTCATCTTTAAGAGACTTACATTACGATATAACCAAACTTAATACAGTGAGTATATTATAAAATAATTAATAAAAGCGACGGTAAATTTAAGGAAACTCAAGAGCTTTTTCTTCTTTCAAAGCTGACATGTTTTAATTTGATATGTACTTACTGCATTCTCACCAACAGATATGCAATTTTATAAAAAAGTTAGGCTGGGAAGAGAATTTGTAGATTAGTGCAGATATTGTTGCTCTGCTGTTAACAAGCACAGTGGAATTACACCAGAGTAACACACAAAATGTTGAAACAATTTTTTTGCAAAGAAACCAATGTAAAATGGATGCAAATGTTTGTTTCAGGTGTGTTTGACAACCCTGACTGCAGTCCAACACAGTTGGATCATGGTGTCTTGGCTGTTGGATATGGCAGCCAAAATGGCCAGGATTACTGGATTGTTAAAAACAGGTGAGAATAATTTGGTTTTCTAATCGTTGGTTAAAATAATGCCCACAGATAAAACTGTCACCCAAAAAACTTGAAAAATCTGAACATCAAGGAAGATTGCCTAATAAACAGCATCCTGTCTCGGAAGCTGAAATATTTTGGTCATATCAAGCGCCACGACAGATGGGGGAAAAAATAATAATAGCAGAAGGCATGGTACCAGGAAGGAGGGGCAGGGGCCGACCAACACCAAGATGGGCACAGGATATGACTATTTGAGTATTAAAGTACATGAGGCGAGAGCGCTGGCGAGAGACTGAGTTTCTTTCATTACCAGAACGACTTCTGCAAAGGACCTGCTACATGATGATGATGATGATGAATGGTTGGTTATTAATTCTGATTATTCAGAAAGTGTACTGCGAACTGAACTGGTGCCTCCGTGGTGGTAATCCATGAGTGCAATGATTTGATTCTTGTTAGTGAGTCAATATTTACAAATATTGTAGCTCATTTAATGTAAATGTAATTAACGGCATTTTTGTTTTTCTTGGGATGAGTTCTTTTTCTTCACATTCCCTATCGTTAAATCTGGAGAAAAACTTCTGGTTTGTTTGTCCATTTCTAGACTTCACTCTTGTTCCAGAATATGCATATCCATTTTGTGTGCAAAACTTCTTATTCATTGAAAGTTTCAGTTCTAGAAAAGTAATGACACTTGTCTACGAGTTCAAATGGTTATTTTTTCCCCCACAATCTCTTTGTGATGTATATTTAAAATAGAATTTTCCGGGTAGGCAGCCTAAAACTGGTACCAGGATATGTTCTGAGAAGTAAAGCCAGCATGAGAAACGTCATCTAGGGGATATTAGTATTTGTTAAAATAAATTATAAACGTCAGGGAGAATTAGCTCATAAACACCGTCCTGAAAGCTGGAGTATTTTGGTCATGCTAAATGTTGAAAACTGCCTTGTTTATTTGTCATTTCATTATTATAATTTTGTGTGTGTGCATTTTTCTCAGTCACCACATCTCACAGGGCATTTAAAAATGTGTTAATCTACTTTAACATTATCTGTCTGCTCTGTTATTGCACAAATGTTTATTTGACCCATTAAATGAATTGGCTTTTACATGTGTATACTTTTTTATTTTCAGCTGGGGCGAATCATGGGGAGATAATGGATACATCTTGATGTCTCGTAACAAGGATAACCAGTGTGGAATTGCTTCCTCTGCTAGTTTCCCCACTGTTTAACTGTATTTCTCAAAGTAGTTGATCCATAAACGGCAAACTGTGCTTTCAGTTAATAGTTTTTGTTTTCAGCGTAAATGAATGTCTTAAGTTTAAGACAGTGTCAATGTTCTGTTTATTATCACCTGCTATTGTAAATACAGGTAGATAGCACATGCTTGTGTAAATACAGGTAACTGTAATCAATCAGTTTGTGAATGAAAGTTGTGTGTCAGTAATTGAAACGGTTTATGGATGGTTTTACTTCATAAGCCAAGTAGTTTCTGTCAGAAGTCTGATTGTACCGACAGAGACTCTTGTGCACATGCAAAACCTGGCAGCTAACACTGTTAAAGCAGGCCTGGGCTGTTTGCCTGGTTGTTTTGTGTGGGAAAATCTATGAACATTTATTTTGGGCAATGCCTAATTAAACACCCCTTAATTTTTGCTTTAATGAAAATGGTATATTGTTGAAAACAAATTTTAATTTATTTTAAACTGGGCAATCTGTGCGCAGAAAAAGACCTGAAATTTGAAATGTTCAGTAGGTTTTAATTAGCAGCAGTATATTGTAAACTATTTTTTTTCCTCACATGAAAATGTATTAATGGATAAATATTATTGCTATAAAATAGATACTTAAAGAAATCAAAAACACAAACATCATTATTTAGACCTCATTATATACAGTAATATATTTTATTTTAAACTGATCACAAGTTGCATCTCTGGAAGACAGCTTGGCTAATGTACTACATTGCTTATACTACATTGCTTACCAAAATTTGCAATTTTTCTTGATATTAGCTGAAATGTCTGATTGCATTAGGTCTTGGAACTTGTAAACTGTTCTTGTTTTCTTTGTTTTCCACTCTCCACGTGCTTATAATTACTTACAGATGAAAATGTTCTTTTGTTTCTAAAGTTGTTTTGTAAATAAAAATACCTTTGGTAATAAAAGTATTTGTGCATTAATCAAGTTTCTTGACTTCTTTTATCAGTTAATGTTAGGCAGACCACTTTTTAGGCAGTTGTCAACATCTGTGGCTTAGGCATTTTGAACCTGCCTCATAATTCTGAAGTACCTTGTTTGCTTTAGCTGAGGTGACTCGGCAGCACAAGTTTATTTTGATTTTGACAATGGGTATGGAGAGCCAACTGTTTGGAAGCAGTGGCAAACTAATAAACATAACACCCAGTGAAACCACAAAAACTCACAAATTTCCTGTACATTACATAGCTAACTGTTTTTGTAGATGCATCTAAGAATTTCACCTAGTCTTTTTTTTTTTTTTTTTTTTTTTTTTTTTTTGGTCCAAAAGAAGGCTGAAAAAAATATCTTCACGAAGTGGACAGCAATAAGATAGTCTAGGGAAAATAGAATTCCTAGCAGGTCCAAAATACATCTAAACATGTGAAATAAGAATGAAGAAACGATGGTCTGGACATTTTTTGCATTACCCTGAGTCAGAGAGGAGAATACAATTCATACGATCAGCGTGGCAAAGCAAGGCAGTCAACGTCTTCAACTTCCTTCATGTTTTAACAACAAAATATGACAGAAGGAAAAATGTGGCATTGACAAAAGCACTGCACTTTAATTTCATTTAAGTTTCCCTGGGAGCCCCAGTAGACAAAGTGACTGAGTGGTGTACAGCAATGAGGGCTGTCATCCACCCGGAAAAGGTGTCTGTTTTGTGGTGTTCTCTGGACAACGGAATTGTTAAAGCTAATGTCCCAAGCCTCACGATAGATGGTAGGGATGTCAACAGAGAGAGCAAACTGAAGTATCTGGGAATTACATTTGACAGGAGCCTGTCATTTAAGGACCATGTGGAGAGTGTTGTGACGAGATGCCAAAAAGGACTTCGTGCACTTAAGACTGTGGCTGCAATTGACATAGAGCAGAGAATGCTTTTCACACTATATCAGCACCTGATCCTGTCAGTGGCTGATTATGGCCTGGGAATGCTTACCGTCTCAAGAGTCAGATGGACAAACTAGAGTGCATTCAGAACGCAGCTATGGGGATCATTCTGGGTTGCACCAGAGACAACCCAGTGGTGTGTATGTGATAATCCTTGGTTTGCCGACGGTTGCAGGTAGCCACAAAGTGCTGCTAGCGAAGTCATATCTCAGGGTAGCTGAAGCACAGACCACCCTCTGCATGAAGCTCTGGGTGCAGTTAAGTGTCATCGACTGATAAGAGGTAGGTCATGGATGGCTCAGGCAGAAGACACAATCAGACATGTTTGCATCCTTGAGAACATTAGGACAGGAAAAGAGTGGGTCAAAGTGCCACCTGAACGGTCAGACTTGTGTAGAGTCATAATCACGCTCAGCCGGGAATGCAGAGACAGTCCAGCAGGTGCCACAGAAGTGGAAATTCAACAATTAATTCAAGATAATGCTCGCGCAAAGGATTTGACCATTTACACAGACGGTTCAGTGTCAAGAGCAAAAGAAGTGCTTGGGGCTTCTTAGCAAAAGTTAATGGTCGACGTTTGGTGCAGGAGAGCCTAGCATATGATAACACAACATCCAGCTTGAGAATGGAGGTGGAGGCAGTCACTGCAGCTTTCCGCTGGCTAGAGAACATGACACACACACACATCGTGCTGAGGAAGATCAGAACAGGTATGCTTCGTGCAGAGTGGCATGCTTCGCTGCGGAGGACACAAGTAAGGAGTATTGTCTGGATTTTTTCACCTGGTAACGCCGGTGTGTTGGGGAATGAACAGGCGGACAGACTGGCTGGCTCTACACAACTTGGTGGAATACTGATACATGATAGGGCAGACGTGGTTAGTGCCTTGTGGGAGAGCGTGTACAATTCGGAGGAGCAGATGGATTACAAGTTTGGTGAGATTGATGTAGTTGGGGGTGACGAGAGGTTCTGGCAGATGCTCGAGGCTCAGTGGAAAGGCAAGACGGACGTTTAATCAGAATGCTACTGGCACCATTAGTATTGGAACTCTTCGCTGGCTGCTGAAGATGGGGACGGAACGCTTATGGGAATGCCCCGAGTGCTGTGGTGTTGGTTCTTGAATCAAATCAATTTTAGTTTCCTAATTGTTTGTCTTCTGTCTCTCACAGCCTCTGTCTCCATTCTTTCCTATCTCTCTTCTCAGCATACCCTTTTTTTCTTCTTTCTATCTCTTCCTTTCTCTCATTTTAGCATCCTGTCATTTTTCTCCTCTCATGCTTGTCTCTTGTTCACATAACTAAATGCATCCATGTATATCTCTTCCAATACATTGGAGCATTTACTACATAAAAGTTGAGGGGGGTGAGGTGTTCAAGTTGATCAAGCAAGAAGCAGATATCACATTAAATTGGAGGGTAACATTAATAGGTAAGCATCAGTCTCAGAGGGTGTAATCAGAATATGAGACATTGCGTTAGAGGTCCACTGCAGCCAGCCTTCATAATGGAGGTGGCACCTGACCTGTTGGTAGCCCTAAATTTTATAGCAGTGTGTGTATATAAAGTTATTATTCTTGTTTGCAAGCTTTTTTTTTTTCTTAAATACCTTTATGCAAGTCTATTTTGGCCACAAAACAACAGCAAATAATTTTTAATGTAAACTATGAACACTGAAACATTTTATATAAAAATTTATTAAGTGCAGTATTGTCACTCATGACGCAACTTAAATTCATTCCAATTCTTTATTTGTGTAAAAATATGCAGAAAATACTAGCCAGCAGTGAGGTCTATTTTTTTTGTAGCAGGTCTTTAAGACAGAAGGCAAAAATTACACAAGGTAAATTACTCACAAGCTATCTTCTCTTTTTCTACCCTTTATCTCTCAATGGAGTCTAGGTCATTAAACAATGTGTGCTGCCAAGTCATCCTATCCTTTGTTATTGTATGTGGCTCACCCCATGTCCTTCCCATCTCTTTTTGTTTTTCCACTTCATTTTCTAGTTCCATTTTCCATGTTTTCTTCCTTTGACTCTGTTGGTTCCAATGCAAAGAAATCATAGGTAATTCATTATCAGACTTTCGCAAAATGTGACCTGTCTTAAGTGACTCAGCTTCTTCCAATTACTGGCGTTTTCATTTTCTAGAAACCTGGATTTGGCAGCAGAATGTCTTGCATTGGTTTTGCCAATGGTACCAAGATCAAATTGCTCAGAAAGTGAAGGCAAACTACTGAGCTTAAAATTTGTCGAGAAAAACCATAAGCTAATTTTTAAAAAAAAGGTGGTCTTGGTTTTGCAATTTCCTGTTAAGGATACACAACTAACTAGAAATCTAGTAAAAATTTTATAATAGACCTTGCAGCTTGTTCTTCCGAATAGACGTGAATGGTAAGCAATAAAATGGTGGAAGAACATGGAGGCAGCGGAAATGTGTTTGAGAAGAATTTTCAGAATATCAAGGGCAGAGAAGAATGTCAAGGACAGAGAAGAATTTCCAGAATACCAAGGACAGCAGAAAAGAATGTCCAGAATATCAAGGGCAGAGAAGAATTTCCAGAATATCAAGGGCAGAGAAGTAAACAAACTGAAGTATTAACAGCAGGTCATGATGTATGTGCTCTCTTCTTCTTCTTACTCAAGCCTGAGTTTTAAAAAATCTCAGCGCAGTTCACAAACTGTTGGTGTATCAGCCATGTGCACCTGTGGAAAGGTGCCCCAGTCAGCAGAGCATGTACTCCAGGACTGCACCGAATTTGACACATTAAGGCAAACCTTTTGGCCAGAAAGAACAACAGTGGAATGTAAACTCTATGGTCCACTGAATGAACTAACAGTGAAATATATACAAGAGACAAAACTGCTGATATAGACAACTTATTTCAGGCGAATGAAAGAAGAAGACAAACTGTTGCATCGGCGAGAATCCTGAAATACTTGAGGTAGATTTTTATCTCAAAATTGTGCCTGGGCAGCACCAAAAGGCTACTATTTTCAATTTCCAACTGCCAAGAGATTTTTTACATGTGCAACAATACAAATGGGAGTCTGGTCTTACTACCCAGAGCCTAGGGGGAATTACCAGAAGTCCACGTGAAAAAAAATCCCTGCTCTCACTGGGACCTCTAGCACTTGAGACAGACACCATGCCTCAAGACCAAACAGCCCCCTAACAAACATGTTGTAAGAGTCAACTAATCAGGTATGTTTCCACTAAAGTCAGAGTGCATCTGCCTGAGCGGTAAGGAACCAACAGCCTGCTTACAAATAAGCCCCATCTGTACAATGGGTGTGTTCACAAAACTGAAGTTTTCGGACAACAATATTAAAGTCCAAAAGTGGATAAACAGCCAGAACCTTCCACCAGGGTTTACAGCCAGTGAACCCAAAGAAGAAAACTGGGGGTGCTACAAGATCATTCATTAAAACTAAGAAAAACAATCAGCTGAAATTTATGAGGCATGCCAGTAAATGGGTTAACTATTGAAAGGACCCTTGTCATCTGGAGCATTAGGCATTAAGTGCGAGACCCATATTTTGCATAGTATAGACCAACTGAGACTCCAAAATGTCAAAACATGTGAACCATCGTTACTTTATAGGAATTTCCTTGCATCAATTTTAGGATGAGTTGGCCATGAAATGAACGAGAGGCAGATGCACTTGATTTTACAAATACAAAGGTAAGGGACATAAATCATTTAATAAAAATTATTGCAGAATATTTCTTTTGTGCAGGCCGCCAGTTTGACTTGCCTGTTTTACTGAATACTGCAGAAACAACAACATCAGTTTTGAGTGATCTGTGATTTCACTAGGCAATGTTTACATTCTGTAGTTTGCAATTGCTTACTGAATACTCAACGCTCATTACCACAGTCAAAACCAATGCAAGGTGGTCTTTTGTCAAATCACAAGAACCTGGGATCAAATCTTCTAAAACCGAATTAACCTTACGTCCTTTTTAGGACGTAATTTTTTGTTATTTGAAGCCCCACTCTGGCTTTTGCCAGGGGCCGCAATATAGGCAGGCCATAAATATGGCCAATTGTTTGAACGCGGTTTCTGGGACCTCTCCACGGTGATCCTCATCCACATGGTGGCACTTTGTGTCATCGGGTGTTTATCGCTTGTGTGATGTCCTGGTGGGGTAAAAATCTTCTTCTTCTTGTAACCCAGAATTATGAAGTACATTCACAACTACTAAATCAGCATAAAGCAGTCTACTGTCTAAACAGCTGGAACTGATTTTTAACCCTGTTATGTCAGTATTGTTAAATTGCATTCACAACCCTTAATGCATAGACAGTGAACTTACCACCATAATTTTTTTAGTAAATATGTAAAAGTTCAAAGTCCTGTTAAAAAAGAAATCGTAGTTAGAGCAATTACAAAAATAATGAAACTGAACCAGCCCAAAAATATTTTGGCTGTTGCGGTTTTTCTAGCCCAATTTTATGTTCAGTAATTTGCCATTGCCTCTTGAATGGTCAGCTCTCTGTATTACTGTTGCAGCTGGGATTGAACCCGGCATTACGAAGCACGTTTGCAGCACCTAAGCCACAGACGCCAACTTGGTAGAATTAGATAATGTAAAACATAAAATTAGGAAAGCCCAAGGTCTGAGTGGGGTTGCAACACAGGAAATAAGTGGGACAGAAAGAAATCCCATGACAAAGGTGGTTATGTGAATGTAGTACAGTAAAATGGTGATATTCCAACTGAGGAGAGAAAGGAGGTTCTCTGGAGAAGGGACCTTAGAGTAGAAGGTTTGATAGCCGAGCATCTGTGTAAGAAATCTACACTGCTTGAAGACTGAGAGGAAAGTGATGCAGATATGTTTCCAATGAAACATACACATAAAAATAATTGATCTGATGAAACAAAATAAAATATATTGGACACAAATATTTTTCTATTTTTGTTTTATGCATCTGTAAAAAAAAAAATGTACAGTGGGTCTCATAAATCTGCCTAACCTAATAACGTGTTTTTATTCAGTAAACATCTGTCATTAATTATACACTAAAATAATGAAGTAGATTCGACTCATCTCTTAAGCTTCTCAAACAAAATGAAGTATATCAGTTTACAACATGTGTATTACAGGGAATAGTGGCAAATAATAATAACACTTAACACATGTTACAAAGGTGACTAAGCAGGAATGGCTTCAGTTTCTTCTTCCTGTTCGCATGTTCACCGACTGTAAACTCTGGTGGAAAGTTGTGGTTGTTCATCCACTTCTCGACTTCAGTCTGTTCCAGAAATTGACTTTTGCGTGCACACCATTTTTTTTTTAAAAACAGATCTGGCTTATTTGTACCCAGACTGTTGGATCCTTGCCTTTCAGGCAGATGCATTCCAAGTTCGAAAGAAACCCCTAATTAGTCTACTCTTTTGACATGCTTGTTATGGACAGCGGGTCTTTTTTTTTTTAACTCCCAAAACTCACATAGGGATGGCTTCAGACTAACAGTTCATAAGCGAGTCTACAAAGATCTTGAATTGGGCTGATTGATGCATCATTTGGAGATTACACAAGAAGAAACCAGTTCATGACGTATTAGGTATTCATATATACTTGTAATAAAATTTTAGTTAATATACAAATCCACTTCTTCAACAGACAACATTACTTTTTTTTTCTTTTTTAACAACGCTTAGTTTTCCCAAACAAATACATATTGCTGCTAAGCTACCCCCAACCATGTATAGAAGCTCTCTTTTAAGTATTTGTTTATGCACATCATATTATTTCAATTATTATCCCTGTATGGGTTCCATGGCCCTGTTATACGGAAAACAAGAATAGACCCACTGCCTGTCTAAAATCATGTTCCTTCAAAGTCAGAGTGCATCTGCCTAAGAGGCAAGGAACCAGCAGTCTGCAGACAAATGAGTCAGATCTGTAAAACGGATGCACACACAACACTCTGGTTCTGGAACAGGACCGCAGTCAAGAAGTGGATGAACAACCAGAACTTTCCGCCAGAGTTTACAGCTGGTGAACGCGAAGAAGATTCCAAATATATATTATTTATTAGCTATTCAGCACATTATTTTATTAACGAGTTAAAGAAGATTTAGGGCTGCCACCCCACCCCCCCCCCTTCCCCAAAGATTTGTAACATTGGCTGAGGCTCCCTAATACTTCCTTTGTGGTGGCACCTCTGGAAAGTGTATTACTATTATTATTGTCTGTCTACATTGTTTTCTCCCTCTTTGTTATCTTGATATTTGTGTTTTTCTTTGCAGGAACCGGTAAAATAAACTAAATACACAGTTTTAACAACTTTTAATAAAAAATTGGACTAAATTACCAGATTATGTTTCACTTGCAGCCTTATAACTCCTTAACTTCCTTTGTCTTAAATTTAAACCGGCATGTTTTATCAAATGTTTAAAAGATAAACTGAAAAGTAAATTTTCTTTCAGTCTTGAGTGTGTGCATGCATGCGCGTGTGCATTTGAACACATAAGTTTTTATATATCAAATTTTTTAAAGCCAGATTTAGTTTTTTTTTTTTCTTACTTCTAACCTGCATACAATGTGTTCTTTTAGAAGTTAAAATTTCATCAATAAAATATGTACACCCCCCCCCCCCCCCCCCCCAGTCACCTCCAGTGCAAAATTATTGTTTCAGCAGTTTTATACATTTTATATTTTTTCAGTCCTAACCATCATGCAATATGTTGTCTTAGATTTTACATATATATGATCAGGCATGTTAAGGAAGTCTGGCTTCCCAGTAGCCATTTTCACAGAGTATTTCACCTCTTTAAAAGTACATGATTTATGTTTTCGTGAAACCTTCTGGAACTAAAAGAGTTGACTCTTCAAGTTCAAGAAGATATCCAGAATAATTGCCATAACAAACAATTATTAAAGCATTACTTTCAAAAAGGTTAAATACATAGAGGAATTGATCCACAGCAACTAGATTTCTTTAGTATGCTGTGACTAAATATAAAAATTTAGGCAAATGCACTGCATGATGGTTGGGATCTAAGGGGAAAAGCAAACCACACTGCAAGCATTCTTTAGGAGTTCAAGGGTTAAAACATGAGGCTATTATTTGTGCGTCTGTCAAATGGACAGTTTTTCAAACAATAAAACCTAGCACTATATGGTTTGAAAAAATATGAACAATACATGTAATACTTTGAGGTCATTAAAAAATATGGCATCTATATGTAATGCTTGGATTTCGTTTGTTTTCAGTTGTTGTTCTGATTCACAACATAGACTCAAAGAATACTGAGAAATTATTAATGCAACTACTGGAATTCAGTTTTAGTTGAGCATGCATGATTCATAAGTAGGTACCATGTATTTAATATTGATAAAAGCATCTTCTCCACCATATCGTTCAAATGCTTCCAGAGTTTCTTCAATGAGATCGCCCAGGTTTTCTCTCTTCTGTTGGCTGTAGTCAATACCATCACCTGAATTCACTGTTAGAGAAACAAACCTAACAAGTTACAAATTTGCTACAGTAACTGCACATGAGAACAGATTTAAATCATCTGCTTGTTGTTCTTTGCGTTCACTAGCTGTAAATTCTGGGGAAAGTTTTGGTTGTTATTCCTCCACATCTGGACTTTAGTCTTATTCCAGAACCTGAGAGTTATGTTCATCCTTTTAACAGATCTGGTTTATTTGTATGCAGAGTGCTGCCTCTCAAGAGACGTAGTAAGATTTCAGAGAAAACTCCCAATTAGTCGACTCCTATCACATGCTTCTGGGTTGGCATGAATCTATTCTTGTTTGGGAGTCACCGTGGTGGAGCGGCTAGACCCTCGCCGAGGATCAGAAGGTTGTCTGTTTGCTCCCTGGTGGAGGCAGACTTTATTCAAAACTGACCTTGGCTTCCAGGTCGACCCAGCCTTGAGTGGGTACTGGGTGCAGTCCTGGAAAGTAGAGGCCGCCAGGGTGATGCTGACCACATCACCCATCTTGTGCCGATTCGTCTAATAAAATTTAGGTGTAACCCTATATGCCCTATACGCCTAAAGGCATGGAAAAAGGTCCTTTACTTACTATTCTTGTTTTCCACACCAATGGCGCACCTGAAAACCACATGGGGAGGATTTAAATTATACTGGATCTAAGTATGCAAGGCCATATTTAAGCATGTGCAATATCTGCAGCTGCACAAGGAAGCACAAGTGTGGGGGCAGCAAGATATAGCTAATAGTAAAATAAATTTGATGTTTCTGTGATAAACGAAAAATGTTGTGTGGTCTTTTAACTGTAGTAATTATTTGCTGTTGACATCAGTGGCTTAGGCGATGTGAATGTGCTTCATAATGCGGGGTGCTGGGTTTGATCCCAACTGCAGGCGATTATTTTTGTCTGGCGTTGGTTTTGATAGTGGTATCAAGTGCCAACCGATTAGAAAGCAATAACAAACTCATCAGCATCATGTACTACTGGTCAGAACACTGCTCTCATCATGGTCTGTCTGGGGAAAAAAAAACTTGGTCTCTCGTCAGCTCCCCCCCTTTGCGCTTCCATATCCAAGGAGTCACCTATATCCTATGCTCACCTTCATGTTGGTTGGCCCGTGCCCCTCCTACCTGGTATCAGGCCTTCTGCTATTATTTGTTTCCAATCTATGCTTGATAAGACAAAAACACCCCAGCCTCCGAGACAAAATGTTGTTCACTAGTCAATATTCCATGATACTCAAATCCCTCAAAATGTCAGTAGCTCCTTTCTTCTTTGTACACGTCATTCTGAGAATCCCTCTATAGCATTTCAGCTCAAAAGCACCCATTTTCCTTCCTAAGGACTGGAAGACAGTCCACGACTCACATTTGTATAAATGGCAAACTATTAAACGTAAAATGTGTAAACGATACACAACTAACTTAATTATTTTCTGCATGTGTACGATAAAATTGTGCATTCAGAATAATTTATATATTGTTAACATTCATTTCTGTTGTATGTGTTGTGTCATCATCATCATAATCAAGTGCCTTGTCAGCTGGCATGGGTGATGATCTTTCTTCCCAATCTGTGATCTTCAACATCATGTTTCAGTTCATATTTGACACCCCTCTATGCCATGACAAAAGGCATTCAAGGATCTTAGGCATTGTCTTTCTCTGTCTCTTTCTTCCACAGATCTTTCCAGTGGTCACACAGTTAAATTTAAATCCTTAAACACAGTTTAAATCTGAAGTAAATAATTCCAAAACATATTGTTGGTAGTCAGTAAATGAATGGTGGTGCTGAAGCTTAGCTGAGGGAAGAGCAACCAGAACTGTCTGCCATAGTTTACAGCCAGTAAACTTTAAGAAGAAGAAATGAACATTTAATGAACCTTGAACACCCACACTTGCCTGCATTTAATTATGAGGAGCTGTTTTGTTTGCTATGGTAAATGCATATGAGAATAGATTTAATAATTGCTTGGTCTAAATATGTAACACCAGGATGGCATTCATCAGTCGTAAACTCCAGGGGAAAGTTCTGGTTGTTCATCCACTTCTACACTTTGGTCTTGTTCATGAACTTGAGTTTTGCGTGCACATCTATTTTACAGATCTAGCTAGTTTATTTGTACACAGTGTTGGTTCCTCACCTCACATGTAGATAGATGCACTTCAACTTCAAAGGAAAGACCCCTAATCAGTGGACTTTTATGACATCTTGTTTGGTAGGGAGTGGGTCAGTTCTTGTTTTTTTTTCTTCAATAAGAATAGACCCCTGGAACCCACATTGGGACAATATGATATATTTTTTATTTAGTTCGTTTGTTTCATCGCAGTCCGTGGCTTATGCGTTGCAAACATGCTTTGTAATGTCAGGGTGCAGGGTTTGATCCTAGCTGCAGGTAATTCGGCAGCAGACTGCACACTAAACTGAAGTTCTGGAACAAGACCAAAGTTCAGAAGTGGATGAACAATCAGAACTTTCTTCTTCTTCTTCTTATCAGAGTTTACAACTGATGAAAACAAAAAAGCAGAAGAAGAAGAAGAAGATAGAAGTTTGATACAAAGAGTATTCAACAATTGAAGTGAAACGGAATGAGATAATGTTTATATCACATATAACTTACAGTTTTTGCCTTTGAAGATGTTCATGACTGGGAGAATCTGCCTGTAGTATGGGACAAGTGCTTCACCTACCATGTCAGCTGACACTACCAAATGTTGTAGTACTTTGAGTGTTGTGCACAAAACCTTGTGATTTCGTGTGTTTAAAGCATCTGAGGAACAAACAGATTCCACCATAGATCATATATAAGAATATCTTCTTCTTCTTCTCATTCTTTTGTGTCCAGAATTAAATTTATGGTTGACACATTGTAATTTATAGCTAAGCTGTGATATCTCTTTCTTTTGGCAACACATTTTATTCTAGCAAACCCTGTATGATTTGCGTTATATAAGATGATACTGTTAAGGAGCAGTGGGTCAACCCCCCCCCCCCCCTTTCCGTAAAAAGAAAAACCAATAGGCGTCATAAAACCCACATGGGAAAAAGAAATAATAAATTAATGCAAAACTGACTTTTACTGTCCTTATTATACCACTGCGTACAGCAGAAGGGCAAAGGGCGTCACTTTAAAGGGATTTCTGACTATGACCTATGCAGATAATGTTTACCAGAGAGAGAGAGAGAGAGAAAGAAAGAAAGAAAGAAAAAGAGAGAAAGAAAGAAATCTCTATCACATCACTGAGTACTGAATTCTAGGTCTCCTAAATCAAAGTAAAACACTCTAACCTTCAAGTCAGAATGTAATAATTAATTTGGCAAAAAATGATGTTTTAATCAATTTGTTCTCTTATTTTAAATTTCTTACATTATGTTTCTTTCTTGTTCACACTCAGATCTTAGTATTCATATATATTAATAGCACAGCTACCAGCAGAGCCTTCCAAGCTGCACTGGTTAAAGAGTAGAGAACTGACACAGACCCCTATTCCTCCAGCTTGGTGGATGAAGTGTGGGGCAGACACCCCCACCTTCGTAAAATCCTCATGAAAGAGATATCTAAGCCTCTAGTTTGGATGGATTTAATTAACAAGGACCCTGGAACATTAAATTACTAGTGAGATTTGGAACATAGAATGTCTAAGCCCTTTATAGAGTTGGAGCATCTGAAGAACTGACCCATGTGCTATCAGATTACATCTAGGTAAAAGATTCAACACCACAGCATTAGGGTGAAGCCAATATTAACTCTGCCTCTCTCCTCAAGAGTGAAGAATCTACATACTAATCGTACCAGTTGTCTTCTGGGTAACTATGTGTCTTGCTCCCCATTCACTCAAGTCTCAAGGGACACCAAGAGCCCACAAACACTACCCACTGCAACATTCTCTCAAGGTGCAGGTTTTCAGTATCTTCCATTTTCCTTGTTACTTCACCCCCATAGCTAAGTGATCAACTCTGCCTTGTGCAGCTGCAGTATGTCCCCCATTGCAGCCAGTTCAGCCAACTTATCTGCCTGTTCATTCCAAAACACACCTGAATAGCCTGAGCCACACAAAAAACAAAAACACGTGACTCTCAACACCAGTGACCTTTGGAACTTGACTCCACCACCCTGAGCATGCTCTCTGAAACCAATACTATGACAACATCTGGGGCTAAGATTTTCTCCACTCTCAGAATGCCACAGTCACTGTCTCAACCTCCATTCTCATGCTAGGTGTGATAAAGCTCTCCTCATCCTGCTCTCCCATGCTTTAACAATGAAACTCCATCCACTCATTCTACTCTGCCCAGTGATCCATCAGTGCACATTATCATATCTCGTAGCCTAGAGTTTTCCTTTATCAGCTATTGAACCTCAGCATCTGCGCATCCTGCTGCCCTTCCTTTACATTCCCGCCCAAAGGTAATTACCACTTTGTACAGCTTGTCTCTGCACTCTATAATCATTCGTCTCCTCTCTTTAACACTGCTGCTTGTTTTTTTATCCTAAACCAACCAAGATCTACCCCTCTTTAGTCTGTAACCCTTCACAATATCCTTCCCCATGAAGGATATGTATTGTATCACTCGCAACTCTAAGACAGTACCCAGCTTGCAGTATTTTATGTCTGTTAGCAATGGTCAGCATAGCCAGGTTATGTCTGCCTTATGCATCAGCTGTGTTTAAGCCATTGGCTTCTCTGAGACTGAGGTCTGTGTCAGTTCCTTCACAATGGACAGTGATGAACATTCTATGTGGTTGTGACTGGCACAGGAATGGAGAAACTATTGAATGACCCATTTGCTAAGAAACTGGAACTGTGATTACCTAATTATCCGAATTAGAACCCACAGAAATGAAAGGAAATATAAAACACAAATGATAATGAGAATTAGGCAGTGAGGTCAGTAAGACAGAGAGGATATGAGGTTAGCTGCACACAAGGTCAAAGGATATGACAACTAAGTGCATAATTTAGGCAGACCAAATTCATTTCCCCTTTTTCTTCCCTCTCTCAGCACAAGAATGAGTGCTGTAGTCTTCTGTACCAAGAGTTTCTGTTTGACAAAGTCTTAGCCAGTTCTGTTTTATCAAATGAAGTAAGATTAATCAATTAAATAAATTCTTTCAACTGAAATAGAAAAATCTACCACACTCTGCTTGTTTTACTATGCTAGTTATATTATATTTATTACAATTTGGATCAAAAATGAGATAGAAAGATAACATCAGAAATATTCTACAACACTACAATCTGTAGCGACCACAAGAGCGATAATCAGAACCTTATATCTCCTTCAACACCCATGGCAGTTAAAGGGTAAGTAGTGAAAAAAAAGATGAAGTGGTGGATTTTTAAATTTCAGTTGAAAGAATTCATTTATTTGTTTCATACGATTTTATTCTGTTACTGTAGTATGCACCTGATGAGATACAGTAAAATATGCTACAAAATAAATGGTGCAGTCTATTTGCTGAGTCTTCCTTGCACAACTTTATAACAGTTAAATTTGCTCTGATTTACTTACTTTTGATAGGGATAATAAGCTGGGGAATCACAGGCAGGATTTTAGATCCTCCATGTTCGAGCATGTCATGAACACCTTGTCTAGCAAAAAATTCGTATGGATGTGTGGTTTCACACAAACCATCAAAAAACAAAGGCAGGTAGTGATGGTAGTCCAACTTCTCAATTTCAACCTGATAACATAATATAATATGATATAATATAACATAATATAAATAATAATAACCTGAGAACATAATAGGCAAATTGTTATTTAGTCTCACTTACATCCCAATATACTCATTCTTTGTTTATGGATTATACACTACACATGAAATACATTTCCTTACTACTGTTATCTAATTCTTATTTTGCCTTAATCCATTGTGTTCTATTTATTACTTAAACTCATTCTGTTACAAATGTGTCTACAAGATACTCAAATAGAAAATAAATGGATAGGGGAAACTAGTAAAGTAATTAAAGGACCCTTTTCCAGGCCTTTAGAAGTATAGGGCATATAGGGCTAGACATATTTTATAGACAAATCGGCACAAGATGGGTGATGTCGTCAGCATCACTCTGGCCACCTTTACTTCTTGGAACTGCACCCGGTACCCACCCATTGCTGGGTCGACCTGGGAGCCAAGGTCATTTTTGAAAAAAAAAGTCTGGCTCTGTCAGGGAGCAAACCCATGACCTTCTGATCCGCAGGTGAGCGTCTAGCCGTTCCGCCACGGTGACTTCCTAGAGGAAACCAGGACACCCAAGAAACACTCTAAGATAAATGTTCTTTAGAGAGGCCAAAGGCACTGGACTGGATTCCTTTTAAGGTATCAAAAAGACTACAAAGGATCAAACAGAATGGCTCATATTTCAACTCAGTAGGTTTTCCAGACAATGAAACAGTTAGTAAGTGTGTTTAACACTTTCAAGATCTTAAAGTACTAGGCTTTGATTTCTGCAGTGAAATGTTTATTTTTTTTAAACTGGTCTTGTCATTTTTCTTGTGGTATGAGAATTGCACCAGGACGAGACTGGAGCCGCACCACACAATATTTCTAAAGACAGTAGTGGGTATACTGTAGTTAACTTTCATTGAAACTGTTCATACCAGTAGTTATCCGGACAGTGATCTTATTTTGTTACTTTTAACATTTAGTATGCTGCATGGTACTAGGAAGGAGGGACACGGGCCGACCAACACGAAGATGGGGACAGGATTTAAGTGACTCCTTGAGTATGAAAGTACATGAGGCAGGAGAGATGACGAGAGACTGAGTTTCTTTCATGCAGACTGTGATGAGAGTGACGTTCTGCAAAGGACCTGCTACATGATGATTATACTGCATGCTAAAGTATCTAATGTTGAATTTAGAATCAACATTAAAGCACTCGGCACACCCACATAAGCGCTCTGTTCCCATCTTCAGCAGCAAGCGAACAGTTTAAATTCCGATGGTACCAGTAACTGTCTGATTGTACTTCCGACTTTAAAGTATCAAGATGTTGCATACTAGACACAGGTAGTATAGTAAATACATGATGTTTTTTCTGAGGACAGAAAGTATTAATGATTGGCAACTCCCAGGGAAGCACAGAGAGCAATGTTATACAGATACATGGTAACACAGTCAGAGGTTGACCACATAGAAGATAGACGGCAGAAATATAGGAGACCCTGAAAAATACAATATACAAAGCAAACAAGAGGGAACATTCCAAAGATCTATTCCTGCCCTGATGGATTAGACAAAAAGATGAAGAAGAAAGTATTTAGCCCTACCTTCCAAGCAATTTTGTTTCCTTTTGTATCATGCTCCAGTGCTATCGGAAAGTCACCACGTTCATAGAACTTCCTGAACGATGTGCCTCCTGTTTCTCTTTCTTTGAAGGCACCTGCACATGGTGGCTCTGGTTTCTAATGATTTAAAAATGGTTTTAAAAGAGGGAAAAAACAAAACAATTATTAAATATAATTTAAACAAGTGAAAGGATTACTGATATAAATAATTTAAATGCAATAGAAAAGTAGTATTAATTTTCACAAAAATATCCTGTTAAACCCTGAGGGTTATGACTGAGAAAAAAGCATTAAAGGGATCTCAGAGCATATATTTGGTATTTTATACAGTGTGTAATTATTTATTTATCACAATTATGGGCTATATTCCGAATAACAGTCCAAAAATATACCCTAACAGGGCCTCAGTGAAATGTAAATTGTGGACTTCCGACGCCGCTGAGAGTATCTCCCATGGCGCTACGTACGGCGTGGAGTGGGGCTAAACTAAATGGCTGGGACTCACGAGAAAATAAAATGAAGGAAGCTGTAGGAGATGCGGTAGCTGCTGCTCGTGAGTCCCAGCCATCTAGTTAAGCCCCAATCCACGCCGCACGTAGCTGTGTGGCAGATACTCTCGGCGGTGGTGGTAGTCGCAATTTAAGTCGCCGGAAGTGCGCAATTTAAATCGTCGGAAGTCCGCAATTTGCATCTGACTGAGGCCCTGTTAGAGTATATTTTCGGCCTCAATTATTTGGGACCATTATTCAGAAGATAGCCCAATTATGTAATTTGTACTGTTATTTCAAATATTTCTTTGATAATAGAAAAGCTATTTACACTTTAGAAAAATCAACATCATCATAATTTGCTAACCTGATACTTATGGACGGCTGTAGCCTGTCTGCAACACACTCTGTTCAGTGTCTTCAAATTGTGTTTATACTTTACCAGTTCATCTTTTGAAATGGTCTAATATTTTTAACACTGTCTTTCTTTTGGCATGATTTGCCTCCACTTTCCCATCCATAACATCTTTTAATAAAAAGATTTTGCTTTTTATGTGGCTGAAGTATCCTAATTTGTTACCATTTATTTTTAATTCCAAAGTGTGATACTTTCTTCTCCTGAAGTGGTTTTCTGTTTCACTCAACTCCATATGAATCTGACTATTAACTAATATTCTAAAAAGTGTGGGAAGTTTTGAGAATGTAAAGTGATAATGATATACAACAGTCAAAACACACAGAACTTATTAGCATCAATTACTGATCAAACTTCACTTTTTGAGGAGAAATCTATATCTGACAAAGATCTTTAATGATTCAATCTTCTGAATATTATTTCTTAATTTTCGATTTTTCTTTAGTGAAACATTAATAATAAAACATCTGACGAACTCAAATACATATAACCAATAATTTTATCAAATGCCAATGTAACTAAGCAACAGCTAATAACAATAAAACAATAAAGTAGTGTGTGAAGAACTAATAAAACTTGGTCCCAAATGAAAACAAAAAACTCATAGAAAGAAATACAGTAAAACCTCGTCGTTTAATACGAACACTCGGTTAAGACGAATGCAAATTTGGCCTTGATTGGCAGATTTTTAAACATGATCTCTTGATTTTTCTAGTCCGTTAGAATCCACTTCATGTTAACGGGGTTTTACTGTTTTTGTATATTTAAAGTATTATTTATTATTAATAAATATGTGACAAACCGGTAACTGTGCGTTAGAAACCACACAACCACGTTCAAGTAACACGGAACGGAAATCAAAGTAAACGCCGCCACATGATTCTTTTCTTCTCTTACCGTCAAGTTATTTTTCTCATAGATATTTACTTCATGAGTGAACGGAACCGTTTCCCTCAAGCAGACAGGCTTCCCTGGAAGTTTTACCTTTTTAATGCAAGACTGTTGCTGCTTTGCTTTCATCATCTTTGGGAGCTCGGTTCTGTTTACTTGTTAGTAAACAAAATGGATCTCCTCTATGGGCCCTATACCTGTATTTAACATTCAGTGATAAAGTTAAGATTTAATAAAGAACCTTGAAGACTTCGTTGCCACGCGACTTTGTACAAACCCCCGTATGTTTGTATTTTTTACCTGACCCCATCACCATATCAACGATCCGGATATGTTTTCTGTAATTATTCTTCTTGTTTGAAGTTTAATAATAACCCCTTCCCAGTTCAACGCTGTCAACATGGCCGCGCCCTTGTCTGTAGACCTTATCTTTAGATTTTCAGCTTGCAGGCGTTTGTTATCCCCGCTAGTTTCAGTTTCATCGCAGACATTCATAAAGCTTAAAATCCAGAACTTCAACAATGGAGAACAAAAAATACCTTCTCGTTCATTTGTCAATAAAACAATGGTACCTGCGGGTACCCCAGCTGTTGCACTATTCTTGAGTGCAGGAGGTATGACTTCAGTTTCAGTTGATTGAAATTTCAGTGATTCACTGCACATCTTATTGGTAGCTACTTTAGTCACATTTTTAAAATGCCTTCTGCACCAATAAAACCAGCACAGTTAGATAGCTGTAAACAATCTCTTTCCAACGGTACCTCATTTAGGCTTGTGTGTCATTTCTGAGCTGAGATATGTAGGTTTTTTGTGGACATGAATGAGATGTAGAAAGCAGCTGCTAAAACTTGTGACCCAGAAACAAGCAGTTTTCTCTGCGCACCAAACTGCGCACTTATCGTTTTGGCTTTGTTTACATTGGACTGTCATTGGACAAGATGGCAGGCAATGAGACACAGCCACTGGCTGAGCCAGCGATTGCCTGAAAAATGTCACTGTACATCTACCTAGCCACGTACCAGAAAGAAAGTTTATATACAAATGTAAAATTGGACGGAGAATTCAATTATAACTAGCATTACCAGGTACAGTAACAGTTAAAAGCCTAAAGTCAACCCTAAATACTTATCGCTATTTTCAATCAAACTGATGTAACAGAAAAACAGAGGACGTCCGGCTGTCGTAGACATGCACTGTTAATTGGGTTCCTTCCCGTCGTTTTCAGCTTTTTATAGTGGGTGAAAATCACACCAACCCCAAAATTTCATGAGAGATTAGGACCCATCCCGAAACCCCAGCCGACATTTGCGAAGCAAGTTTCGAACGGTTTCCATGGTAACGGAATTTGCCAAAAGACCGCCAATTGCCGAACACCGTAGTCGCTAGTAGTAGCAGCTGCAGCAGTCCAAAGTATATGTGTGTGATCAAATACTATATTTACCAAGAATCTTATAAATATAGTAGAAGGTGCCAAATTCTTGATGATCGATGAATGCACATTGACTAGTGAATATATTGTCATTTACATCCATAATTAAAAATTTGAACAATTTTCATTTTTGTTCAAACAAAGAAGACCCAAACAATAGATTGCACAAGTTTTTGCCTGGCATATTTTGCTGTATCTCATCAGGTGTATTTTACAGTAACAGTTGATTAAAATGAAGCAAATTAATGAATTCTCTGAGCTGAAACACAAAATCTACTACATTCACAGACTGTCTGTTTGACCAGGGTAACATCAAGGTGAAGAGCATTTCCTTTTGTCTACATAGTTCTGCACTAAGCCGGCTGGGATAGCTGATGCTTCTGCATATAGTAATCTGGTTGGCCGAAGTGTAGATAACTCAAAATACCTCATCGTTGTTTACCATGTGCCCAGAATTTAAAAGATGGCAGGCAATTGCTGATGATGGATTTTTTTTACCAGTCACCTGGTTTGTTGTTGTTAGTGTTCTGCATTGCATGTACCACCCATAGTGGAATATGTTCAGCAGCCGTTTCTCTAGTTTAAATGGAGTGGGAATGTAGTTGATTTTGTGTTTCAGCTCGAAGGATGTATTTATTTGCTTTATTTTAAGCAATTGCTACCCTAGCATGTACCTGACGAGATACACAGAAATATACCAGGCAAGATAATGTGCTATTGTGTTTGTTCAAATTCACAACGGGGAAACATTGCTTTTTTTGTTGTTGTTTTTGGTCAGATTAACATTGTATTTAAAATTTTACTTTGTTAGATAAGCCATGTTTTCGGTCAAATTATCATTGTATTTAAAATCTTACTTTGTTAGATAAGCCATGTTTTTGGTCAAATTATCATTGTATTAAAAATTTTACCTTGTTAGATAAGCCATGTTTTTGGTCAAATTATTATTGTATTTAACATTTTACTTTGTTAGATAAGCCATGTTTTTGGGTACCTTCAAGAAATTATGGTCGCAAAGTGAAACCAAGACCTCCAAAACTTACTGACTTTGGATATTCAGGTAAAGTAATTTTGAAATGCACACAAATAGATAAGTTTGTATTATCAATGTGTTGTACAAGAAATGGCTTCCAATTCTTTCTGTACCATGCAGCTTTTCATATGTTTACTGGCTAGTCTTATTTTTCTTCTGCATTCACATTTGAAAGGGCAGTTAGCAGTTTTATGGGTTAGAACTTTGCTATGATATCTATACCTTTCAGCACAGTTTAACAGAACTTAATACATCAGATTAATTAAAGGTGTGTTTTATCATCTGGTCGGCTCTGTGGCTAAGTCGATTCGAACTCTTCGTAATGCTGGGGTGCCGGGTTCGATTCCAGCTGCGGGTAATGTGCCTTGCATTGGTTTCGACAGTGGTATCAGGGGGCCGACCGTCCAGAAAAAAATGGCAAACTACTGGACGTAAATTTGCCTTGAGAAACCACACAACAGCTAGGGCTTCTGGGGTTGGTTCTGCAACGTCCTGTAAAGGATACGCAACTAACCTAACCTAACCTTTATCATCTGACCTTTTCAACAGTTACAGAAATGAGACAGTACTCAGACACATCAAATATTTTAAGGAAGTTAAAGTCGGAGACGGTGTAGACATTTTTAAAGAAGAAGACTCAATTTTAATAGCAAAAAGGCTAACCCGGTCAACATATGCCTGCAGAAGTCGGGTGAAAGGCGCAAATATTGCAGCCATGCTGTGAACGGGCACAACACAGTTAATCGTTGGATGAGTGCAGAGGGAGAAGAATAGCAGTCACTAAGTATGAAAGAAAAGTATAAACAAGCTGATAAATGGAGTAAGAATAAGGGGTTATGAAAAATCAGCCAAACTGATTTTATTATTTCCAAGAAAGCATAAATTTTAGCATATTTAGTACATGGTATAAAATTACTGGAGAGTTTTGGGAAATGCCATGCTGGTCTCAAGACTCAGTGAAGGGAAACCCAAACTGCACCTCCGCGCGGTAGAGGACGGTAAACACACTGCGGTGTGGCCAACGCAGCTATGGGGACAGAGTATCCGCCGGGATAAGTGGACATCTCTGGGGTGCCCTCTGCTGTTAGCAGGAGCATCACAGAGCAGGGCACTCACTTGCCCTAGCAACCGAAAAGGTTGCTGAAGGCTGAGGACATGGTCTAAAGCCATGTGGATGTGGAAAGCAACGGGAAACTACCACATTACTATCCCAAGAAACTCATCATGGAAGCCAAAAATAACACTCAAAGATCTGGTGGTGAGGCTCTCAGGCCAGGCAGATCACAAACGCGAACTGGGGAAGAGATGGCAGAGCAAGTAAAGGTAGTTGTGATGACGGCCTTAAGCTCGACGGTACTACAAAAGAAAACTCTATCACTGCTCTAAGGAAAACTTTAAAGTTAGGAACATGGAATGTCAGGAGTATGTATCAGGGAAAACTTAGCATTGTTGGCAGAGAATTAGAAAGGGATATTTTATTCAATATATACGCAGAAAATATAATGAGAAATGTCAAAAATGACCAGACTTGTGACAGTTATGATCCGCTCAAAATTGGTGGTAACCCTCTTCCGGAACTCCGCTACGCAGATGACACAGTCCTCCTTTGGAACAGCATAAAGGGAATAGAAAATTTAATTTTGTCCGTCCAAAAGCACCGTGAAGATCAAAATCTGTTCTTGAATTTAAAGAAAACGAAAATAATGTCCACAGATAAAACTGGCTGTCACCCAAAAATAACAATAAATGATGAAGAAATTGAAAATGTCACAAACTTTGAATATCTAGGCTCTATAATAAACAACAATGGAGACTGTTCGACAGAAATTAAAAGGAGGAGGGCCATAGCAATGCAAAGATTGAACAGCCTTAAAAGTCTGTGGTTAAGCACCAGCAAGGAGATAAAAATTAGAATTTTGAGAGCATGCATCTTCCCTGTGGCTACATACAGATGTGTCGTGGACTATCTCTCAGTCCTTAAGAAAGAGAATAGGGGCTTTTGAGCTGAAATGCTATAGAAAGATTCTCACAATATCTTGGACAAAGAAGATGAGAAATATTGACATCTTAAAAGATCTGAACATCAAGGAAGATTGGCTAATAAACAGCTTCCTTTCTCGAAAGCTGAAATATTTTGGTCATATCAAGCGCCACGACGGATTGGAAAAAATTATAGCAGAAGGCATGATACCAGGAAGGAGGGGCAGGGGCTGACCGACACGAAGATGGGCACAGGATATAAGTGACTCCTTGAGTGTGAAAGTTCATGAGGCGGGAGAACTGGCAAGAGACAGAGTTTCTTACAGGCAGACTGTGATGAGAGTGACGTTCTGCAAAGGACCTGCTACATGATGATGATGGTATAAAATTAAAAATAAACAGATCTAATCTGTCCAAAAAGGAAGGACTTGCTAACTTTTATCAGCAAAAGTTAAATTAATTTGAAAACTAATGTCTGAGGAAAATGATGGGCAACCACTAATGTCAACAGTTTGAGACAGAGAAGATGGTGCTACGTTGGACACATTCTGACAGGAAACCAGTTCAAAAGTTGCATTATTAGAGTTTCTGTTTCTTTGATTTCTCAAGTTCTCTATTTACTTTTTTTGTTAATTTTGTCTACAACTGGAACTGAAAAATGTTAGCAATTCTAATTGAGAAAGTTTTGTT